CGGAGCCCTGGCCCAGGCTGCCCAGGGAGGCTGTGGAGTCTCCTTCTCTGGAGATATTCAAGACCCGCCTGGACAAGGTCCTCTACAAGTGGCTCCATGCACTGGTGCAGCTGGGAATGCCCGTGCCACTCCGTGACTCGGGGTGGGCTGAGCTGTCTGCTCGCTAGCCTGGGTGAAACCCGGGTGAACTGAGTGGGACGCGCCGGCTCGGGCACGGTGCTGGGCTCAGGCATGGAGCTGAGCCCTGCACAGGCAGGTCCAGGCTGCCCAGGGAGGTTGTGGAGTCTCCTTCTCTGGAGATATTCAAGACTCACCTGGACGTGGTGCTGTGCAGCCTGCTCTGGGTGACCCTGAGGGGGTTGGACTGGGTGACCCACAGAGGTCCCTTCCAACCCCCACCATTCTGTGACTCTGTGATTCAGAGGGCCGTTCCTACACGCTGTTCTTCTCCCCCCGTTAGTTTGCCAGCAGCGCGAGCGGGTCGCTGACTTCTGATGGCCGTACAAACTCCTGGGCGTCGGGAGGGAGAGTGGCCACCTTGACGCACCTCTCCCAGAACAGCGGCTCTCTCCCCGACGGACAGTCCTTCGTGCTGATGCCTGAGAGCAGGGTGCTCGAAGACCCCCTCTCCCCTGGCTATTCCCAGCCTCTCCATGTAAGTAAACCCCCCAAAAGCCTGGGGTGCATGCGGGGACAGATGCTGCCTGTGAGCAGAGCGGTCTATCCGGGTGCCCGGGTGGGCTGAGCTTGGGTGGTCGGTGCTTGCTGTGCGAGTCCATGCCTGGAGCCTGTATTTGTCCTGGCTCAGCTTTGTCATTGCTGATAAGGGAAGAGTCCCGTCCCAAAACTCCCCTCTGCGTGAGGATTGTTGGTACAGATTGCAAAATGGCAAACGGGTCTGCTCAAAGGTCAGGGAATCCCAAAGTAAAAGCCCGTGGTGGGTGGAGGTGATGGGTTAGGCAGGCCTTTCTGCAGCGCTTGTACGTCCGGGGGTGTCTGCGTGCACGGGGAGCCGCGCGCGGGGCCGGCCGCAGGACCGTGCCGAC